AGGCATGTGGCATATACCTTTAATCCCAGCACTCAAGAAACAGAGGCAGGTGGGTCTCTGTGAGTTCAAAGCCAGCCTGGTCTACATATCAAGTACCAGAACAGCCAGGATTACATAGTGAAAGCCTGTCTCAAAAAAAAGTCCAAGGCCAGCCTCAACTATTTAATTTGAGGCTAGCCTGGGCTCAAAAAAAACCAAATGATCCTAGCTTGAAAAATTTTTTATTAATTAATTAATTAGTTTGTTTATTTATTTATTTATTTATTTATTTTGAGACAAGGTCTCACTAGGTAGTTCTGGCTGTCCTGGAACTCCCAGCCTCTGCCTGCAGAGTACCGGGAGTAAAGGCATGTGCCACCACCACCCAGCTTATTTTTATGTATATGGGTGTTTAGTCTGTATGTATGTCTGCACCACAAGCATGCAATTCCCAAAGAGGCCAGAAGAGGACATCAGAGTCCCTGGGACTGGAGTAAGGATTGTGAGCTGCCATGTCAGTGCTGGGGATTGGATCAGGGTCTTTTAGAAGAGCAACCAGTGCTGAGCCGTGATCTCCCCAGCGCCCCCGCCCCCCACTTAATAACTGACTTAGTCCCAGTTTGAGGTGCCCATATACTTATGGGTATGGGGTCATCCGATGGAATGTGCTCAACCTTCTAGGGGCCACACCTTAAATAAAACTGATTCTCCCCCAGGAAGTCATCCACTGTCAATAGCTCCTTGAGCTAGGGACGGGGACTTGTGAGCCTCTCACTCCTCCAGGCTGGATGTTGACTGGCCTGATCCTATGCCAGTCTTCTGGAGACAGCCACAGCTGCTGGGCTTACAAATACAAATCCTGGGCAGTCCTCTCATGTCTAGAGTCATGTCAGCTCTCCCTGACCTCTGGCTCTTCCAGCCTGAAATGGTCCCTAAGCCTCTGGGTGGTGGTGGTGGTGGTGGTGGTGGTGGTACAGATGTTGAATTTGTGGCTCGGCATCTTTATCTTTTTTTAAAATATACCTTTTTCAGACTTATTATTTTATGATTGTTTTGTCTCCTTGTGTATCTGTATACCATGTATGTACCTGGTACCTGTGGAAGCCAGAGAGGGCACCAGTTCCCAGGTTTTTGTTTTTCTGTTTTTTTGTTGTTTTTGTTTTTGTTTTTGTTTTTGTTTTTGAGACAGGGTTTTGCTGTGTAACAGCCCTGGTTGTCCTGGAACTCACTTGGTAGACCAGACTGGCCTCGAATTCATAGAGCTCCACCTGCCTCTGCCTCTGCTTCCTGAGTGCTGGGATTAAAGGTGTGAGCTACCATGCCCAGCTCCTCTTTTAACTTCTTAAGTAGTGGATTACTCTGATTGACTTTCAAATGTAGCAGCCATAAATGTCAGGAATAAATTTCTTGGCCATCTTAATTATTTTTGTATATTGTTGAATTCAATGGATACCTCTTTTTATATTTTCTCTTCCTTATTTTACTGGATTTAATTTGCTAATTTTTAAATGTATTTTCTTTCTTTTTCTTCTTTTTTTTTTTTTTCCAAGACAGGGTTTCTCTGTGTAACTGTCCTGGAACTTGCTTTGTAGTCCTGGAACTTGATCTGTAGTCCAGGCTGGCCTCGAACTCACAGAGATCCGCCTGCCTCTGCCTCCCAAGTGCAGGGATTAAAGGTGAGCGCCACCACTGCCTGAATGTATTTTCTATCACTTATCTCTGAGTGCTGCGGGTGCCACCAGGACAGGTGTGGAGGTCAGAGGATAATCTGCAGGGGTCTGTTCATTCCTCCTGTCAACTGGGCTCTGGGGACTGAACTCGGGTCATTTGAATTCCCATCAAGTGCTTTACCTGCTAACTTGTCTCCCGGACCTACTTTGCTAGTATTTTGTTGATTTCTGCATCTAGTTCCTAAGTGATGCTGACTTGTGGAGCTGTCGTCATTTTAAGGGTTTATTAATTCTCACGTGTGTAGGTGTTTGCCTTTATGTCTGTGCACATGCTTGCAGAGCCCTTGTAGGTCGGAAGAGGGCGTTGAATCCTCTGAAGCTGGAATTGACAGAGGTTTTGATTTTTCACAAAGTTTGATTCCCAGCATTAGGGAAGAAGAAAAAAAAACCTACAAATTGAGGCCTGGAAAGATGGTTCAGAAGTTAAAGAGCACTGGCTGATCTTCCAGAGGACCCTGGTTCGATTCTCAGTACCCACATGGTGGCTCACAATTTTCTTTAATTCCAGTTCCAGGGGACCTGATTCCTTCCTGGGATACACGAGATATGCAGACACATATGCAGGCAAAGCACCCATATACACAAAATTAATTTAATTAAGAAGAATGTGGTATACTTGGGAGCTAGAGGCAGGCAGATCTCTGAGTTCAGAGACATCCTGGTCTACAGAGAGAGAGTTCCAGGACAGCCAGAGCTGTTACACAGAGAAACCCTGTCTCAGGGGGGAAAATGTGGTCTATGGAGCTGGAGACAGTTCAGCAGTAAGAGTGTTTGTGGTTCCCGCCGAGGACCTGAGTTAGATGCCCAGCACCCACATGGCGGTTCACAACTGTCTATGACTCCATTTCCAGTGTATCTGATTCCATATTCTGGCCTCTGCGGGGACCCGGCATATACAGGGTGCACAGACAGACAGACAGACAGACAAGAGGCTCACACACACACAAGATTTGAGACTTTTACTGTTTCCATGCCTCAGCTCTCTCATTTGCAAAAGTCAAATCCTGCTTAATTGAAGATGGAGAGTTCTAGTATGAGCTAGTACTTGGTTTTTTTGTTTGTTTGTTTGTTTTTGTCTTTTTTTTGTTTTTTTGTTTTTTTTGTTTTTTCAAGACAGGGTTTCTCTATGTAGCTTTGTGCCTTTTCCTGGAACTCACTTGGTAGCCCAGGCTGGCCTCGAACTCACAGAGATCCGCCTGCCTCTGCCTGCTGAGTGCTGGGATTAAAGGCGTGCACCACCACCGCCCGGCTAGCTAGTACTTGTTTAAAGTGTTCAGAATTGTATTTTCCTAGAAAGTGCTCTTATATTCCATCATTTGGCAGGGTTGTTGTGTAAATCTTTTAGGAAATTGAAACAGATTCAAACATTTCATCCTGCTGGGAAGCTCAAGCAGAAAGGTAAACAAATCAAACTAGCTTTAGGAAGTCCCTGAAACTGATGAGACTTACTTGACCCCTCCCTGCCCCAGTAAATCATAAAAGCTGAGAGTCCCCCTGGAAGAAAGGGAAGCTGAGCTGCAAAGACTCTGAGACCAGACCAGCTGCCTGGAAGAGGTTTAGACCTACTGAGGCCCCTGGAAAGCACACTCCAACCTGTTGAGCTGCCTGCAGGCTGCGCATTGTGCTCCAAGTTCCCAGCTTTTGTGAGCTGCCCCCCATGCTGGGGTGAGCCTTGGAATGCAGTTGTCTGAGCTTTTTCTGTTCCTGTAACCTCACCCATATTCTTGTAAGTAATCCCAATAAAACTTGGTTTACCATCCCAGCACTTGGGAGGCAGCGGCAGGCAGATCTCTGGGAGTTCAAGGTCAGCCTGGTCTAGAATGAGTTCCAGGACAGCTGGGGCTACACAGAGAAACTGTCTCAAAAACAAAAACAAGCCGGGTTGTGGTGGCTCATGCCTTTAATCCCAGCACTCGGGAGGCAGAGGCAGGCGGATCTCTGTGAGTTCGAGGCCAGCCTGGTCTATAGAGCAAGATCCAAGACAGGCACCGAAACTACACAGAGAAACCATCTCAAAAACAAAACAAAACTGGGTTCACCAAGTTGGACTTTGGTGGTACCCACACTTTGGTGTGTTGCATCTCCTTGGGTAAAGTTTTGTCACATACAGGGGCATGTACATGTGTGTGCATGGATTGAGTGCATGTGGAGGCCAGAGGCCAACACCAGTTGTCTTCCTTTATCACTCCCCACCTTTTTTTTTTTTTTTTTTTTTTTTTGATACAGAGTCTCACAGAACCTGAAGCTCAGTTGACTGGCCAGTGAACTCCAAGGACCCAGCTGTCTCCACATTCCCAACCCTGGGATTACAAACAAATACTTCTGTGCTTGGTTTTTCCGTGGGTGGTGGGGAAGCAAACTCAGGTTGCCATGACTGCAAAGCAAGCACTGTACCATTATTATTACTGAGACAAGGATTCGCCTGGGCGCAACTCTGTCCCACCCAGTGCGATTTCCATGACTCCCATGATGTGAGCAGCTGACTCAGTTCTTGTGCCTCCCCCACTCTGTCTCCATCATGCTCTGCAGGTGGCTCTGTGACCTTGGTGCCACTCACCACTACGAAGTTCAGAACATGACCTTTACACTCTTTCATGCACCTCCATAGTCCCACTGCTTCCCCGACGGCCCCAGCTGGTACAGGGCCCTCTCCTACCTGTTCAAAGTCCCTCTCTGCTTTCAGACAACTGTCACTCGTCACCCCTTCCAGGAGCATCCTGCTTCGGTGTTGCTGTGTCTAACCCACACTCGCAAGCCACACACTCGCAAGCCACACACTAGCATGCTGTGCTCATACAACTGAGCCGCTCCAGCTTTTCAGTAAGTGAACTCAACTGGTGTCACTTTGTAAACTATATTGCTGTGGAATAATCATTCTGTACACTGTGAAGATGTGTTGCTCTCATTGTTAATAAAAAAAAGCTGATTGGTCAATGGCTAGGCAGGATTTTGGGGGCAGACAGGATGCTGGGGAGAAGCTTGGAGCCAGAGGAGACACCATGAGACGCAGAGCGAGCAGGATGGGAAGTATGTACATGAGGTAAATGAGCCTCGGGGCAGCACATAGAATAATAGAAATTGGGTAATTTAAGTTATAAGACCTAGCTAAAAAACAAGCCTAAGCTATCAGCGAGCATTTATAATGAATAATAAGTCTCTGGTTATTTGGGGAGTGGCTGGTGGGACAGCGATTGGTGTCTAGGTAGAAAACTCTGCCTACACTACATTTTTGAAATTGTTACTTGAGACAGGGTCTTACACTGTAGCCCTGGCTGGCTTCAAACTCCTTATGTAGACCAGACTGATCTCTAACACATCTGTCTGCCTCTGCATATTGCAAGTACTAATAGTGAAGGTGTGACCACCACACCCCGCTGTCTCACCATTTTTTTTTTTTTTTTAAAAGTCTTCAGTGCTGGAAACTGAACTCATGCCAGGCAGGCACTCTATTAAACTAATCCCCAGCCACTTAAAATCACCCTCACACACAGGGGAGGCTGTTTAATGGGCTCAGGTCAAAATAAAAAACTTTCTCAGGACTGGCCATAAGAGAAGGTGGCGTGTAGCTGGGAGGTGGGGGGCGCTTAGCCTGGGAGACATAGAGTTGGATACACCCTGGGATTCAAGGGGTGGACCCTAGCAGACTGGGACTGTATCCCTCGCAGCTGTATGTGGTCCAGGGGCTGGAGGGTATACTCCTGGGGCAGGAGAGGGGACTGCACAGCCAGCAGGTGTACTGGAGCCTGGGAGTGAATCCCAGCTGATGAGAGAGGGTGAACACCTGGGGCTAGTGGGCGACTCCTGGGTTTGATGGGTGGAACCCTGTTACTGGGAGGTGGACCTAGAACCAGTTGCAGCATTTGGAGAGGCACAGGGGGCAAAGGAAGACGTGGAAGGGGAAGGAAAAGGCCACCAGACAGGGTGGGTGGGGACGAGGGCTTGGAGGTCAGGTAACCAGCAAGCAGCTCATGAGCATCCGTGGGAACCGCTTGACATGGGTGAGGCGGGGCAGCACCACCTTAATGTGAAACTGGAGTTAGAACTGCTTAGTCTTAAAGGTTGCAGTGGGTTTAAGACTCATTCTCGGCCTTGTCAATCTCCCAGCCAAGCTGTGGTCTCATAGGGCTTGACTCCATGGGCCTCGATCCTCTTGCTACTAGGTGAACGTGAAGCAGCTGTGTGACATGTTTTCCATGGGCTGGGGGTAGCTGATCTGAAATAGCAAGCTCTGCTGATCCATTTCCATGTCCCTTTGCTTGATCACCTGGTAGCCCTGCTGGTCAACTTTTATAAACTTCGCCTCCACCTAGGGTACAAGCTTCCTTGGCAACTTGCAGAGCTAAGTTGGTCTGATGTTTCTTTCCTTGGGTATGAGCCAGGTAGCTGTCCTCATTATGCAGCATCAAGCAGAGCTTGCATTCAAAGGATGCCAGGTGTTTGTGCATGAAACACAGGACCTTGTTGATGGTGATGGTTTGTTTTTAGGGCCAGTTCCTTTGGGTGCACAGATTGATGCTGGAAGACCACAGTGAAGACCTGGAAGTGTTACCGGACGGGGAGACACTTGCTGAGACAGGACTGCCAATAGTGTAAGGATGGACTGGACTACAAGGTGAATTCCAGACCAGCTTGAGCTATCGTATCCTGTTTCAAATACCACTATCTCAACTGATTATTCCTGTTGTCCACATACCACCGAAACACACAGTACAAGTATCTGAAAGAGCCATAGCATTGCACTCAATGAGCTATCTTTGATATTGTCAGAACAAGGCAAACAACTGTAGCTGAGAACATCGGTGAGGACTTTTATATTATTTATCTTGTGTGCATACACAGATGTGGAGGGCTGAGGAGAGCTTGTGAGAATTGCTTGTCCTTCCATCATGTGGGTTCTGGGGATCAATTTCAGGCCTGGTGGCGAGTGCCTTTACTAGCTGAGCCCTCTCAGTAGGCCACATCTAAAGTCTTTTTCCCACCTCTGCAAATCTGGGGACCACCAAGGAGAACTTAGTGCAGGAGTTCAACAGCAAAGAGCTGTTTCACACACAGCTGTACTTCAACAGGGCACGGGAAGACAGATGAACAAGGACATCTTCCCCGATGTCTGACAGGAAATTAACCTAGGACGCCATTGCTCCACTCAAGCAAACGTTCACAATCCATAGAATTGGGACATTTTTGTTGTTGAGATGAAAATCTCACTATGTAGACCAGGCTGCCTCACATTCCATGTCTCCTAACATTTGCAAGAATCCTCTTCAATCAGCCTCTCCAGGGCCATAATTACAGGCATGAGTCACCACTTCTGGTTACTGGGACCTCTTTACTAAAAGGTGTAGGCAAAGTGGTCATCTGCCAGTGTTTGTCAAGAAAGCAAATCCCCAGACTATGATTGGACAAGGAGGCCCTGGAGTAGGATGGCATATTCTCGTGGAATCCCAGACAGAAAACCTTGTCTGGATTGAAAAAAGTCCATCCAAGTACAATCTGCTTTCTGGACACAGCAGGGACTGTGCTGCTCTCTCTGAATGCATTCCTGAGCTGCCCCTGCTGCACTAGCCAGCCTCTAGCCCTTCGTACGAGTGAGACGGCGACGACGACGACGACGACGACGACGACGACGACGACGACGGGACGGGAAGCAAAGACAGTCTATTTATCGGCACCCTAAATTCTAACCCCAGGAGGAAGTTAAGAGCATCAACAGTCTGAGTAGTGTCACCTCCCTTCGTGTCCCCGCCCTCATCACTGTGACCGGATGAAGTGGTCCTGATGATGTTTTTCACCACACGAAGGGCCATCTACACAAACCTTCCCCGACAGTTCAAAAAGGCACTGGCGATCCCACTGACCCATGCCCTCCTTGCTGATATGAGGTTCCTGTCCTCAGTACTTCTGGGTCTCTCTCCCCAATTCCCTACACACACATACACTTTAACCTCAAACACTGATACAAAGATTCCTTTAGGAGCAAACACACCTATGAATAAAAGTCCTTTATGCTAGGAAAGTATTACCCTCTAAAATGGGGCTATATTTACAAATTTTATTTTTTTTACATCTCAAAAATACATATAAATGAAAACCTGCTCTCCAAATGCAGACAGGCCTTTGCCTATCATGTGGTATTATTTCTATCACAAAACAGTGTCATATGAAGATCAGCACATAGCTCTGAAACACACCATTTACAAGCACACACTGTAAGTAATGACTTCCTACTTACACAGACAGAGCCCAGATGGGAAGTTCATTCAGAAGCTGGGCTGCCCCTAGCTTTCCACCCTTGGGAAGTAAATACAAACACATGGTCAAAGATGAAACAGAAACGTAGAAGCTACAAACCTCCTTTAGACACATACACAGGACCTTAGGCCACAGCAAGGCCCCTGCTACAAAGTCAACGTCAGTGTGTTTCTCAAAGGGAGAAAAGAGAGGTAACATCTGAATAAAAATGCAAAGCTGAAGAAAAAGACCAGGTGATCAAAACTGCCATGTCCGTGTTTCATGGGGAATCAGGAGTCCTCACAGGACGCAGCTGCACAACCAAGTGCATGTGACACCAGCACCCACTGGTAGAAGCCATGACCTCCCTACACAGTCATGTCTACACAGGCGTTGTAGAGTGTCTGTTTAGCTTAGACAGTCAATAATGAGGTCATGTGGTAAATTGTCACCCCCCCAAAACGAAGTGCAAAATCAGCTTCTATGACTCAAGAGCTGACCCGGGTCAAAGCTTTGGTATATGCTGGAGGTTGTTTTGGTGACACCCAAAGCTTACTGAGATTCTCTGCTCCAGGGTTTGTCCCCAAAACAAAAACTCCTGGTCCACAAAGCTCAACGACGATATAAATAAGAAACTGTACAGAGAGAACAAGCCACAATCCCCTTTCCGAGGGCTTCATCATGTTCCTGTGCAGCAGTTCGGAAGGTGCCCGCTACAGCCAGCCACACACTCTGACCGAAACTCGACATGCTGTAATTGGTGAGATTGTTCTGAAAACAAGCGCCAACAGGCAGGCGGCTGCTGCGCCAAGTTCAACAAAACACGAGGTGAGAGTTCTCATACTGCAAGACAGCTGGGCAGCAACAGAGGAAAGACTTAAGGCAAGAAGAGGCGCTGGAGAGTCAACCCCACGGCCTCCATCAGGAAGGGTTTCTAATAGTGGGGGTGCTCCTCAGTTGCTAGCTGTCAGACACTATCTCCTCCTCCTCCTCATCTTCGTCTTCCTTCCTGTCTACTTCAGAGGTGTCTGAAGACTCATGGAGCAAGACATATTCTCTGCTGCTGAACCCAAATTTAAGGACATCTTTTTCCTTCAGTTCATAGTATCTCTGTGGCTCAATTCGCTTGTTGTTCAAGAAGGTTCCGTTGCCTGAGCCGAGGTCAATGATGTAGGGCTTGACCCTCCGACCAACTGTGCCATCAGCTCTTGTGTGCTCCACAAGCCTAGAAGAGACCAGGGAGAGAAGCCCGTGAGCCAAGTCCTACCAGAGACCATTTCCTCTGAAGCTCTCTGCTACAGCTCTAGACCTGGAAGGTCACAGGGAAGTACTGCCCTGGATAGGGGAACTGGGAGCAGTTTAAATAAACCTAAGTGAAAGGTAGAGCTGGCTGGAAGTGGTAGGCGGGGTTGGAGGGCCATGAAAGATCCCAGTGTAGAGCTCAAGGCCTCTTGTTAGGGCTACTAATATACTTCCCCAATGCTGTACACCTATTTTAGCACCAGTCCAAATGGGGGAAAAACATTAGAATTAGGACTTGGGAGTCAAGGGCTAGATAGGAGACCGAGTTCTGCTCTGAAGATCATTTACTGCCATTAGCTGACAGTCTTGGCTGTCAGATGAGGATGTTAACACTGGTCCTGTTTCCTCAGGGAAGTGTTTAGGATCAGTTGGTAAAGGTGTAAGGTCCAAGCAGCAGATTCAGCCAAGGTATACCTGGCATTCTGACTCTGGCTTCTACTTCTATTGGTCCTCATTACAGCCCTGGGGGGCAGGTGGACACAGGTCCAGAGTGGGGCATGACTTTCTTTCTTTTTCTTTTGAGATGGGGTCTTGGTACATAGCCCATACCTAGAGGGTAGGCCAATCTTCCTGCTTGGCCTCCTAAGACCTGGATTACAGGCCTGCACCACCACAATGGTAGGGGCTAATATCTGGGTTTCTGATATCAAGTTCAAGACTCTCATACAAACGGTAAGAGAGAACTCAAGGGCTGCCAGACTCTTTCAGCCCAGCTCATTGGATACAACGGTAACGGGCTCTTCTGCATTTCCACACACACACAGCCGTAGGAATCCTAAGCGAGACACTCACTCCAGCTCCCTTTCCAGTTCTCCCTCTGGTCTACCTACCGGTACTGGAAGACTGCATGCTGCTTTGAGCAAGAGGGATGGTCGATGGGAATGTCGGCGATGCGGCGGTGTCGACCCAGAAGGTAAGCACTCTGCCGATGGATGTACATGACCGGAAGCACCTCATCGTTTTTAAAGGGGTAGAGACGCCACCGTTTTTTTGGGATCCGGGCTTCTGGGGGCTCACTATACTTAATAACCACACCCCGGAAGGTATTGGTGTCCTCAAGAAGTGCTCCAGAGAGTTCAAAGCTTGGTTTTTCTTTAACAGGCACCTCTTTGCCTCTATTACCAGCAGGACGAGGGATCACCTCGTGAGCCTCACCACCAGCACCTTCATTTTGCTGGCGATGCTCCCGGCGCCTGGCATTATGAAAGTCCCTCTCTTCTTCCTGGGCCTGGAGATTCTGGCTGTCTCGATCCCGACCCTGCCCACTGACAGGCCTCTCATCAGAGCTCCTCTTTTGGCGGGAATGGCCCCGGTGCCGGTCTCGCTCACGCTCACTGTTCCGAGCTCTCCTTTGCTCCTGTTCTGATGGCTCCCGATGCTGCCGATCCTCTCGTCCTCTCCTTGGATGGTCCTCCCGTTCCTGAAATTAAGATGTATTCAGTAAAGGAAAGATGGCTTCAACTCTATGAATAAGCTGCCAGGGCTGGGAGATGGCTTGGCAGTTAAGAGCACTGACTGCTGTTCCAGAGGACCCAGGTTCAGTTCCCAGCATCCACATAGCAGTTCACAACCCTCTGTAACTACAGCTTCAAAGGGATCCAATGCCCTCTTGTGGTGTATGTGGACACTACATCTATAGAGTACACAAACATCCATGCAGGCAAAACACCCACACATAAAATAATTAAATCTCCAAAACACAACACCACATCTGTGACCTGGATGCTGGTATTCAGAACAAATTCCTATCCACACAAAACTCTCTGTGGTAGTAGTTCTGTCCCCCTAGAGGGCCATTAAGACTCGATATTCCATGCTGTTCCTCAAATAAAGGCCTGATAACCCAAGCCCACATCCAGAGCCCTCAAAACAAGAGGCTGACACAGATAGGAGAAGGAGAAATAATATTCCCTTCACTCATCTGCAGGCAAACTCAGAAGGCAGCATGTGTAGAAAATAGCAGAGTAGCCGGGCAGGCAGATCACTGAGTTTGAAGCCAGCCTGATCTACAGAGTGAGTTTCAGGACAGCTTAGGCTACCTGAAACTCCACTCCCCACCCCCAAAAAAAGGAATTAAAAAAAAGAAAGAAAGAAAGAAAACTTTAGAATGGTCACATTTAAGATACGTAAAGGAAAAAGTTAACTTCCTCATAAGTCAAAAAGGAATCTGAAATAATTTCAAAAGCTCCAACTTCAACAATTAGAAAGATTATTCAAACATCTAGGAATAAACTTCAGAAACATGAAAGCCTCAAGAAACCTACAAGAAGGTATTACTCGGCAGTTTCCAAACTTCTGACAAAATGGAGACACATTGAAAAATCAGCCTGGCAAAAACCACAAAACACATCACACACCAGTAGATCAATGAGAGCCGGCCGGTAGGGGCACATGCTTTTGAACCCAGCACTCAGGAGGCAAAGGCAGGCGGGCCTCGGTGAGTTTGAGGCCAGCCTGGTCTACAGAGTTCCAGCAGGTTATTACACAGCAAGACTATTACACAAAGAAACCCTGCCTGGAAAAAACAACAAAAATAGACCAATGAGAAATCAATCAGTAAGGCAAGCAGTCGCAGGCAAAGCCTATTAACAGCAGTCTCCAGAAGCTAACACTTAGTAACACTCATCTCACTAGGAACCAGAGCATCAATGCTAAAAGAATACACACTTTCTCAGATTAGCAAAACTAAAAAGGTCAGGAATAGCTACTATCAAAAGAGAAGGGCCTGGGGCCGCACACCTTTAATCCCAGCACTCCGGAGGCAGAGGCAGGGTTCCATGCCAACCAAGTGATCTAGAGAGGAAGAGAAATTATCTGCACAGGGGAGGGGACAGATCACTGGTGGAGTCTGATTGATGGTACACCCATAATATCAGCACTCAGGAGCCCGAGGCAGGAGAATCTAGTGTTCTAGGCCTAGCCAGGTGGTGGTGGCTCTCGGCTTTAATCCCAGCACCCGGGAGGTAGAGGTCAGTGAGTTTGAGACCAGCCTGGTCTACAGAGTGAGTTCCAGGACAGCCGGGACTACACAGAGAAACCCTGTCTCAAAAAAACCAGAGTTCTAGGACTGGAGAGATGGCTCAGGGGTTAAGAGCACTGGCTATTCTTCCAGAGGTCCTGAGTTCAATTCCCACAACCACATGATGGCTCACAACCATCTGTAATGAGATTTGGTGCCCTCTTCTGGCCTGCAGAGATACATGCAGGCAGAACACTGAATAAGAAATAAATAAATAAACCACCCCTTTAATCCCAGCACTCGGCAGACAGAGCCAGGAGGATCTCTATGAGTTCAAGGCTAGCCAGGGCTACAAAGTGAGTTCCAGGAAAGGCACAAAGCTACACAGAGAAACCCTGTCTTGGAAAAAAAAACAGAGTTCCAGGCCTGCCTATGCTACCTACCAAGCAAGTTTCAGGGCAATCTGGCCTAGTTAGCAGCAGATCTACTGTCTCAACTACAAAGATGTGCAATCACACCATTTTTGTCTTTTTCCACCTGGTGTATTAAGCAAGTCATCAGGGTTCAGACATCTTGTAACATGTGTCACAATTTTCTTCCTTTTATGGCTGAGTAATATTCCATTGATATAAATACATACGTAATGGTAATGGGAGTGGAATTCAGGCCGGGTAAGCACTCTACTTCTAAACTTTAGCCCCAGCCCTTTTTACTTTTGAGACAGTGTCACTTTTGAAAAGCTCACCGAGCTTTTAAACCAGTCCTGAACTTGTGATCCTCCTGACTCAGTGTAGGATTACATGCATACACCACCACACCTGCCTCGAACAAGATATATATATCACACACACACACTCAAGACTGTTGTAACATTGCAGAGATGCAGACAGAGATGCAGACAAAGGAACTAGAGCAGCTAAGATCATTTTTGAAAGAATAAAGTGAAAGGAATCAGGACACTCAGTTCCAAGATTTATTATTTAAATGTGGTAATTGAGTCAGCATGGTATTGGCAGAATGACAGACATGCTGACTGATTTTCAATGTGGAGTAAAATAACAATGCCCTTTGAAAAATGGTCCTGGAGTAGGTGGGCACTCACAGGGCAAAGCTGCGCCATCCGGGCTGCTTTAGAGAGGACCATAAACCATGTGCATCCAAGACATGAGAAACAGAGAAGAGGCCCGGAGGTAAGGAAGGATAAGGACAGACAGGAATAGCATCTCAATAGCTGTGAAATGTCTGGATCCTGGCTATGATACTGCCCACAGGTGGGTGAGAAGTTACCATTGGGAGAAACAAGGAAATGTACATCTCTGTATTATTCCTGACAAAGAGTTATCAGAATCAAATCAATCATTTCCTCCATATTTAAATTTTC